GCAGTTTGACTTAACGAGAACCTGTTTCTGTTAAATTTTGCATCACTCGAACCATTCCCCGTGGATTCCTTGTCATTGCAGGCAATTGCTCCATGGGGGCGTGCTCAATGTCAGAGATGTGGGCAGCTGGTGGATTGCCATTCCAGGTGCTGGCATTTTCATGAAGTGTTTCAATAAAGGTCAGCACTGAACCATTCATCCTTGAACCACTTCACATGTACATTGAATTTTTAGTTCATTTGAGCTGGCAAACTGGAGGGCGCTGGCCATGGGATAGTCAACACAGCAACCTCTCTATCAAAATATGAGTCTTCCTGAAGATTGTTCTTGTGAAACTTGTATCCCATGAGCTGGTTGAAATTTACGCGAGCTCTCGAAAGATATTTGTACTTCAGTGCAAGACAAGATTCATTTGTTTTATGGATGTAAAGAAACTATCCAACTACGAGTATGCATATTATTACCTACCTTGTATTCAAGTGCCGTGGTACTGGCAGGAGCATCATGCTGGCAGCTGTGCAAAATATAAATGTCCAGTGTGGGTAGCACGTTGCCTCGGCCTTAACTGGGGGAAAGGCATTTGCTCACCTTGTAGTCCCGCCTCTGTGATTTTTTCCCAAGCCAATTATTCAAAGCGCTCACCAAAGCGACGAGCAAGGGTTGATTTTGTTTTTAGGGTTATTCATGCCAAAAACCTTGAAAGGAGTTATTACTTTTCACTAGATGCTGGACTATTTCACCTTGCAGTCCTGGCCAATATTTTTTTGTCTCTGTTTCAGGAAGGGATGCTCTGTTACGTTCGATAAGGAAGTGCAAATACCAGAAGATTTTGCAGCAGGTGGGTACTTGTATTCCCAGCACGAACTCAGTTGTAAACATTTCTGTTTTTCACCGGTGGTATTGCAGAAAGACACCAAATGAAGTGTCCCTCCCTTGTTAAGTGTCAGTTGGCATGTTATAACCGTTTAAGTCATTCTATAAATCTGGGGTCCAATTTTTTGTGTGTCTCTGTCACATCTGGCAATAGAGGTTATGCACGGCAGCCATCTTCCCAGTAAGTGCTTTTGTTGTGAGGGACATCCACAAATGGTCTACTCAAGTGTATCCCTATGGAACTAAAAACACTGACCAGGAAGAAGGCTGTGGTGCGTAACCTCTGTTGATTCTGCAAGTTTAGAACACTGCCTTTAATTTCTAAGAGTGATAAAGTAAAGCAAAATACCTGGCAAACAAATAAATGCAGCTTAAAGTCAATTGCAATGATATTGCCATGTCAACTTCCACAGGGTGGGTGCAACAGGCATGCTCGGGACTCAATTCCAGAAAAGTGGATGCAATGAGTGACTAACTTGGGGTTGATACCTCCTTTGAAGTCAACTCATTTGTGAAGATATTGGGATTACTTTCCAGTACGACTGAGTAAGATTTGGGCCGATTCCAATGAATGTTGTCTAGGTTGTTACAGCTTCCAAGCTATGTGGTATTTTTCTGAATTGATTGAACGTGCCGCAAATTTTGTGATCTCTTTTGTTCCCAGGAACTGGAAGAGAGAAAACTGGCATCAGTGAAGAAATTAGGAATTCGGTATCACATACACGACATCATAGGTGCAGAACTAGTGACAAGGTACGTTAATTAAAAAATAAATGGAATTATTTTGATGTTGAGGAATTAACCACTTCGCAGCGATGGCAGTTATCAATGTTGATGATCCTGGGATGGATAATTATCATTTTTTTTTTTTTCAAAATTCTTTAAAAATTCATATCTTCATTTACTGGACACTTACACCCACATGAAGGATTGTCGGGGTTCTACTCTTATCTGAAAGACAACATCTATTGACGCTGGAGTATTTCAGCCAAGCCTGCCGCCTTTTAAAAAGAGCCCAGATTTTGCGGTGTTACATAATTTTCTTTTGTTCACGAAACTGGCACAGTGCGCTGCTGACCTCTTTTCAATAGGGACCAGATTAGCGTGCAGCGGTACTGTGTGGCTCATCTCTGTGGTGGTGGAGCACTTTTGTCCCCGCTGGTAATCCGCTCGCGCTAAATCCCCCAAACCATGGTATACTGTTTCAAAACAAGGCTGGATTATCTCCACTATTGAGAGTGAAAAAATGTTGATAATGCCCAGCAGCCAGGTCTTTTGTTACGAGTATGGTCTTTTATTACAAGGGCCCAGCTCTTTTATCCCGGTTTCGGGCTCCTCGGCTTCGTGTATAAAGCCTATGTGCTCGAAAACGGGTCCCCCAGCAGCAAGTGGTTAACGAATGTTTTATAACCTTTCATTGCAAATGATGGAAAATGAAGTAGTGGCGTTATGTAAAGTCGACCAGTAGGAAGTGCACAAGAGGTTTTGCCAGCATTTTGACAGCATTTTTATGTTTTCTGATTTCAGGCAAGAAACAACCTCTGGGACAATGTTACGACTTGATGAGTGATTAAGCTTCAGAACTTGTTCAATCAGGTCTGATGACGACCTCCATCAGGTCTCCATAAAGTGTCAATACTTTGCTTTCCAGTGTACACTGAAGATATTCTTGGTTGGTGTTGATTTGGAAGTTTAGCGCCCTTTACAATTTCTGGTCCTAAATTAAAATTCACAGGAAACTTAGTTCTGTTAAATTCCTTTGTACTATTTTTGTAGATACAGAGTACTATTTATATACAAAATTATATGAAATGTTGAGTATTCTTTAGATTGGTACAAAGAGTGAACCTATGTGCTGCTTGCACTTGTGATACAGCTGGTTTGGTACAGAGGCTTTGCGTGGTGGCCATCTTGCAGGGCACTTCTTTTGTTCCATAGGGATACCACTTTTGTGCATACTCTGTGGAAAAAAAGCCCTGGACTGCAAAATGGTAGCTATGCAAACCCTTTATTTAGTGTCACATGTATGCTCTTGTGTTGGTGACTGACTTGAAGAGAAGCCAAAGACAGATGCATGAAAGCTGAAATCTGTGGCAGCATAATTATAACACTCATCAACCAGTACTGTGAACACGTACATGTAATTGAAATGTTTATAGTAGCCTTTATGACGCATTGCAAATGTGCTGTGTGACTCGGGCCTTGTAAATTTGAAAGGCTGAGTCACGTCTCCTGTTTGTCAAATTCCCTTGGTTAATGTCTTGACACTAATGTAAATGCATTCTGTATAATTTTAATTTCAAATTCAAGAAATATTTTGAGCGTAATATTTCATTTCAATGGACATGATTCTTTAATCATTCATGCTGTTACAAAAACCAAGAACACTCATTATATTGTTCAGTATATAAAATGTGAACTCAAAGTTCACAAGATTGCCATATTAAAATATCTCTTTGCAATGGAAATTGAAACAAGGAACAGTGGTCTGCTTTACAATCTTTAAACCAAACTCTTCACTGTCCAAATTGTGCTTTCGTTGTTATGCCTAATAGTTTAATTCAACCCTGGATTTCTCGGCCTTCTCAGCAGCAACAAATGGAACCATTTTAGGCAGTCTGAACAAGAATACAACTCTTTCATCTCAACTACTGGCCACATCATCCACAGAGTTTGTAAATCTATGCTGGGGCATTAAAGAAGCAAAACACCCCCCCTCCAAAACAATGAGGCCTGATGAAAGCTCATGATTTATTTTGTTTGAGAAAATTCAATACAGATGCTGGCAAATTAAAACTATGGATGTAGCTGTCATTACAAAGGCCAGATAGTTTTTGCACAAAGGGGCGAAAGACCGACATATCGAACCTACTTTTAGATTGATGGAAACCTATGGGCTCTTTTCATCCGATTTCTCTGCTTTCATTAATTGAAAGATGATGGCTGCAATTTTCTCATAGATGGCAAACATCATGGCAGCGGTCAGGACAGTCTGCAGTAGTTTCGCTTCCAAGCCCTTGTAGAGACCAAGAGGTCCTTGATTCCTGTATTAAATGAAGTAATGATAATGGCATTAATTCTCCACCAAGGACATGTATATACACTGGACAGCAAAAGAAACTTGACACTTCTGTCAAAGGCCACACATAAAAATTCACTCCATAGAAATAAACAATTTTTGTACACAGGTATGCTGCAATACCCCTTACTAATCACATGCCCAAAAGCAAGTGACTGGCCAGCCCTCTTCCTCCTCTCCCAACTGGAATATCCTGGGGTCTCAGTCAAGTACTTATCCACCACACATGCCTGGAGTTTAGCATACCACAGTTGTGGGTGAAAACAGCCTTCTGTGTTTTAGCAAGCAATCAATCAAATAGGCAGTATACTGTACGATGTCCCATCCATGTAATGCTTCAATTCCTCTGAAATAGCTGTTTTTTTCGTTACTTTTATGTTGTAGCATGTTTGAAATTTGCTTGAAATCTGATAACTTACCTGACAATATAACTGAGCACAGACCACATGGACTTCAACTTCCTGTGAGATTCCGATTCCTCTTTGTCATACTAAAAAAACAACCAAATCAAAGTCAAGTATTAGATTCACGGCCAGTCATTAATACCAGTCAAACTGGGAGAAGGGGTGGTATCCCCCCGCCCTCCTGATATGTAACAAAAACTACATTTTGGGAATTGAAAAAGCCAACAATTTCAAAGCAGAACTAGCACCTTCCTTTGGAGGGGATTCTTTAGGGATGAAAAAGAAAAGTGGAAAAACATTTCCGGAAAAATCCCCATTTGGCAATTCCCAGGATTTCAAGCCCTGACATGCCCCTGACAACTTTCTCTTACACACCCTTTGTTTTGCCTGCACAAGTTGAAGTGGGTAGGTGAGCAGAGTTGCAATGACCTTGGAAACAGCACCTAAGACGAAGTAAACCACGGATGAATGCTCCTACGGAAGAAGAAAATCGCAAGCATTTTCTCGTCAAAGATTCAGAAGGCAAACAGATGCAAGAAACTAATTACTGAGCCAACCAGATGTGCATTGTACAAAAATGTCCCTTGCATTTAAGCAGAGCAGCTTTCCACAGATTGTTGTTGCATTTGTTTGCATGGAAGGAACTTGTAGCATATATCTGAAGGAAGGGAAAGCAGGAACTTGGGTCCTGTGCACATGGATGGGGGACTGCTTTGGATCGATCTTGAAAATCAGACAAGTTTGTAACACCATTGGGGGAAAAATTCATGGAACTTTTCAACAGGTAGCTAGATTTACACCATGCTCCTTAAAAGGACTTCACACCTACAACTTGCTCACACATGTACGTCCTCGACATGATATTTTGAATGTTGAAGTAACACCTTGGACCAACTGGCATTACAGATTACAACACCACTGTACTCATGGTTTCTGCGAAACGGACGTTAAGGTTCTGTATTTGCAACAAATCATGTGCTGATTCATAATGTGAATTTGGGCCTGGATTATGACCAAGCACTGACCTGGTTTCCTGTGTATTGGCTGATGAACCTCTTAAACGCTTCATAGACCATGAAGTGGATGGCAGGATTGAGGACCAAGAGGAGGGAGGATGACATGCCATTCCACATTGCTGCCAAGCCTTCATCTTGGATGATAGTCCGAAAAGCATCTGCAAAACAGTAAAACCAAACAAAATTCAATCAGTGGCTTTTAGTGTGGAAGATAACCAAAATCAACAATAAATTAATTGCAATAGTGTTTAGGTTGAAGGACTGTCCCTGATTATGGTTCATGAAATGTAAACAGTCACGCTCTCCTGAGGACAGCCAGAGCATCCTGGCTGAAACGTGGAGTTAATATTTTCCAGTTCATATCCGAACCACACCTCTTCTGAAGAGATCCATGATGTACATGTACCTGCAACCCTACAGCAAATAAACAGTCTTTGCCAACCTGATTCTCAATATTTGTCATGCCTGGGTGATGACCTAGCCCTATCCTCCAAGCTGACCAATTAAATGTATATGTGTGTTGTGAGACTTACCAAAGATTCCGGAGTAGTGTGGATGCTTACTCTTCTGTTTCTGCTCCGTCTGGAAGTTAGCGCCTTGAAGTTTCAACCTCATGTTAACCACCCACATGGGTGTTGTGACCAGCACATTGATGACTCCTGTAGAGTGTGATGGTCACAAGATCAATATTATTAGTAAAAATTATCTACTCTGAGTACAAGTACCCAACCTCTTCAACACCTCAGAGGGGATATACTTGAGCATGGGGTTCATTAAGAAGGTCAGAATGCCCCAAAGGTCGAATCACCTATCTTCCGATTAATTTCCTTCCTGGTAAAAATGTAGATTGTGTTCCTCAGTCCCTACATGACTGTAGGGTTTACCTTCAAATGTGTTAAAAATAATTCAACTACAAGATGTATGAGAAGTGGACAGTCTTGTTGACTGTTAAAGGGGATCAACAGTACAAAGCTTGCTGAGATTACTTCTAAACATATATCGGTGTTTCAAGACTTGTTGAGGACCTGATGAATCAGTGGACCACAAACAGTGGTCTGAATCAACAAGAACAATTTGAGTTTTGACTTGAAATACGTTGAATTGGGTTTCACCAAGTATTTTTATTGGCAACATATGATGCTGAGTACAAACGCCCTTTAAGCTGGGGGGCCAACTGAAAATTCTTTGATGGCAACAGTGTCCTTGAACCACATGTGATCCAAATATGTTGGTGATTTAAGCAGTGATAGACCTTTCAGTCTCAACCTCATCCATGATGTGGAAATAATTTAAGGCTTGCTACAGATTGGGCACTGCACAAAACTCACAGGAGGACTCACCAGCTACAACACCAATAAGGAGTTCCTTGATGGCAACAGTGCCCTTCATGTGATCCAAACACGCTGCTTTGAGACCGTTGAAGGCGTAGAAGTAGACAAAGTTGGAGCAGCACAGGCTACTGATGACAGGGAACCATCCTCGGTAAAGGGAAAACCTGCAGTGGCAAACAGCTGGTCCTGTTAAATACCAAAGTGTGCTTGTGCTACAAGGGCTCATACCTCCATTCTACCACGCCTAATAGCATTTGAAGCAAGGTATGGGACGGAGAGAAACCCCCCCCGCCTTTGTGTTGGTCATTATTTGATCGGAATCTCAGGAATTCTTTACAGACTTCTGGGGGGATGTGTTACGTAACAATAGTCTAGAGCTTGTATAGGGATTGGACAGGTAAGGGGGTACCCCTCCGTCCCATATCTTGCCTGGTATACCAAATAGGGGGAGGTCACTATCTCTGATAAAGCCAAACACTATACCCCGTGTAAATTAATTTTACAAGCTCCTGGAAGATCTAAGAAATGTAGCAGTACTCAAATAACACTACACCAGACAGACTCAAACCCCCAAGCCTCAAGCCTAGATGATGGTCGAAGAAGTGTTTCAGATAACTACAACAACCTGTTGGGCCCCTCCTCAATCCTTAACCCTAAGTTTCTGTGCTGTAAATTGGCATTTTGGCTTTAAACACCTCTTCAACGAGTCTTCCATATGTGTTATAGTGTGTGCGGCAACTGCTAAGACAAAAATTGGTCTCAAACTTCTTATTGTGAGACAGTGCTTTGTGAATCCCTTCGAGAGTGGATTCCGAGAGGAATAATCGTTTGTCCAATGCTTGCAGACACTACTCAGTAGAAACCATTTTGGCCGTGTAACACCTCTGAATGTATACTTACACTCCTTCTTCCCTGACAATTTCTGCAATAATGTGAGGAGTGTATCTGGCCTCTCGCTTATCATCGACTAGAAAGAAACGAAACAAAGCCATACCAGTAAAAGCTGCATTCCGTCAAGTTTTACGTAAATTATAGGTAGGCAAAATAACGAATGCTGCAAGCATAAAGAATTCTTGATGTTTGCATTGAACTCTTCGTTCATCAAGATGTGATCAGAAGCATCCCCAACATTCCCATATTCCCAACCCTCCACTTTTGAAAGGTCTCACAAATGCCCCCCCACTTTGAAAATTGTTCAGCCGCTATTTCCTCCACCAAAATGCAACTTTTTGTACTTTTTTAACTGTCGAAAGGCTTCAGTGGAAAATGTCTCTAGAAAAGGGGTGAAAGTGATTTCATTTTTTGGGAGGTTGGGGGATGTTGGTGAGGCAGTTCAGTAGAATAAATTGCTCACTTTGTAGTCTTGTTCTTGCCGTTTCTAGAGGATAGAACAGTGTCATTGCTGCAATAGAACCCTGGAATTCAAAACAGATACAAATACAAAATTGAGGAGTTTGAACTTGAAGCACGGTACATTAAGATCTGTCCACCGCAATCTTTACTCTTGCAAATTATTGTACTCCCTCCTGAGTCGATAATCCAATGAATGGATGTCTTCATTCAAAGGCAAATCAACACAGGATGGAGCACAATAATTCTGCACAAGATTCAAGACTGTGCTGACATGGCTGAGGAGATCCATTGCATGTGCAAGTGCTTAGCAAATTAACCTCACAATCATCACAATGGCTACAGTATGTAGGCCACATGATCAGAAAGGCCATGTGATAGATAGAGAGAAGGTTGGAATGAAACAGGACAAGAACGGCCTCAAACAGGTCAAACTATTTTGTTAAGCTTAAAAAACCCTAAAACCCTACACATGTATGTGAGGCGCATTCAGTCACTGTTCAACCTCTCACTGAAAAAGGTGGAACAATGCCTATCCTTGTTTCCCCTCCACCACTCCATCCTTCCCCTCTCACATGTCCAGATTTGGTCACATTCTTTCAGCCCCAGTTGATGGGTTTTTGGTGGAAAGAATTCAATACATTTTAAGCTTGTTACAGTTGAGCTCTGAAGACAAATGGCACTGCGTTTGATTTGGATGCTTCCATGTCACTATGTGACCCACCCTGCGAAAATGAGTCTTAAGTCGCCAGAGCTACTTCGAAGTAAAAAGTGTTTTAGAATAATTTTGCACAGTGAAATCAATAGGAACTCACAGCATTTGTCACCATAGAGTATCCACTTTCATCAGGATGCCAAACACCAAAACAAAGAACTCAATTTGCAGTTTCTATTACAAATGAAAACGCAAAAAGTGGCCCAGGCGACTTAAGACTCATTTTCACATAGCATGTTACATATTTATTTGAACAGATAAAATTCAGAGAAAACATGTTTTAACCCTCTGACTTAATTTGTCGGGCATGCCAGGTGCATGCCAACACTACACTGGCAAAAGGGTGCTTGAAAATACTCACAGCAGCTCCAGCTATGGCATGTACCAGAGTCTGGTAGGAAAACAGGGAGGCTTGAGCACCTGACATCTCTCATCCTTTGAGGTTTCATATGACGGCTCCTGGTGGTCAATTAACTTCGTAAAGTGTTTTCTAGAGTCTTTAGACTAGTCATTTCTGTTCAACGATAGACGTGCGATCTAAACCCGAGTTGTGTGAGCGCCCTCTACAATTCGCATCGCGCAAAACGTGCATCTCCAAGCGTGACGTCAGCGCGCTAAGTGTCGACGGAAAGTTTTGGTCACATCACCAATATTGCCCTTATGGGTGACATGCGAAGTCGAAGGAACGATTGATATCATTGACGAAAATTCTTCGAGCTGCGGCGAAGGGTGGGGGTGGATCAAAATCCTAAATTTTCTGGCAGTGCTGGTTGCTTGCTGAATGGAAATTGGAACAGTGGACTGGGAAAGGGGAGAGGTCTGCGGCCCTATACCCACACACATTTTGAGGTGCTGTTCATCGGATTTCACTGGTATTATTTGGCTGGTGGAACAATCAAAGAAATAACTTCAAAATCCGATTGTTATGGCTACCAGAAAGTATGCATGAGGCCAGGGGAGTTGAAATGGCCCATCCCCTATAAGGGGTATTTAGACGGAGCAATGATTGGGAGACATCGAGAACTGCATGAATACGAGGGCGACTTGGTAAAATATCATTTGTACGGTGCGCGAGCCAAAAACGCAGAAGATACGCTTGCACTGAATGACTTGAAGTAACTCTGCACTGTAATGCCATCGGGCCGGGCATGGGCTGGTCCCCGTCCCTATTATATAGGGACCGGTAGCTAGCTGCGGTCGAACGTGCGCGATCAGCTCTGCCAATGTGGATACTAAATATTTAGATTTTTGTCAGACCAATTACGCTGCAGCGAGAAGAGAATAAAACACAAATACCTATCCTTGCTACACCTCTCAATCACAGTCAGGTAAAATATTTTGCAATGATTTTCATCGATCATTTTATGCCGGGCAATTTTTTCCAAATCAGTAGTTACGGTATAAAAGTTTAGATAAATGAACAATAATATTGATGATGAAGTTTTTTCAGTAATAAAGAAGAAAAGGCAAAATATGCTGTCAGCCCCTGCTAGATTTTTGCATTGAGTGGGCCTCGTTCCTCACACTCGGTAGCAGGATTCTGTTGGATTCATTACCCGCTACCGGTCCCTACGTACGTTCGGAGGCCATCTGCTGTGAGACGTCTGTGGACCTCGTATGGGACGGGAATTAGTGTTCATGGGCATAGCGTAATGCGACAACCAAAATTAGCCATTATTGCTGTAGCACAACCTGTGGACAGGTGATACGCACACGTTACATACCTGTCAGACCAATACGGTACGTGTCGTTATTCGCCAAATGCACGCGCGGGTCAAGCTGTAGAAAGTGCTTGGGTGCAGTGCCAACACGGTTGTAGCGTGTAATCGGATTCATCTGTATATTTACCGGCTGTGCTGTAACCCGGGAGAGCTGAGTCTCGATTAGGGGGACTGGATTCCGGGTAAACTCTAAAAACAAAAAAATAGGGGCTAGCCGCTGAGTCGATGAAAAAAAAGTGAGGCCAGATTCAGTAGAATGAATTGAAGGTGCTATGATAATTTAATCAGTAGGTTCAAATTCACCCCTCCAATGGGTCTTATCTTTGATAGTTCTAAAGAAACATCATAAAATAGTAAATATTGATGTCACCAATAACGACTTGCAATTTTTCCAGAGATACCATATCATTTCATATAGTATTTGCGGTTTTTGACATCTTTCACTTTTCATAGGCCTACCTAGCCTCGAAATGCAGATTTCCTTTTGGTGGGTGCTATCATTTCGCACAAGGGATGGAATGGAAACTTTTTGTGATAGAATGTTTTACGGCAGGTTTGCTTGAGGGCCAAGTTCAGAACCATTTCCCCGTCCCACAACAGTGACTTCGTCTGTTTTTGTAGCAAACATTGTTTGTGCGTGTTATAATTCGTAACCACCGACATCAACTAACAATAATTCATGTCTAAGGTGAAACCAATGGGGGTAATGCTGCGATGGAGGCACCATGGATCACCGATGACATACACTAGGCAGAGAAGACCAAGGCTACATTTCAGATAATCGCCAACCTTTCACAATCGTCAGCTTGCATTACACGTTTGCACTGAAATTACATTCTTTTGCCCGTCGGGCGCACCATGCTTCGTGCATGGGGGAAGCAATTTCTCCATGCTTCGGGTAAGCAAATCACGGTGTGCTGTTCAGTCATTGCGAGCATAATGTGAACCTTTCCAAAGAAAAGTTTAAAAATCAGCTTGAACTGATTGAACTTGGGCCACTTTTTGATTTAAAAGTATATGTGTTTCAGTTGGTATCCCGTTGGTGGTGTAGCCGAAGGTGGAGATGCCTGTCCCGAAAAGAACCTGTTACCAGGCCTGAAGTTCAAATTCTGTCCGTTTCTTGCTCCACTCCTGCGTCTCTCGAAGCATAGAAGTCTCTTGAACGCCTCCCTGAACTGCGAGATGGCAAATGCATAGATAAACGGGTTGACGGCACTGTTAATAAAACCCAGCCAGTTGATGTAGCTCCTGATATCCTTCAACTCTTCCTCGCACCACGAGCTAACGAGAATGACCGCAAAGACAGGCAGCCAGCAAACCAGGAATGCCCCTACTACGAGCCCCACTGTCTTCGCTGCCCTGTACTCCCGGTTTAGTTCAGTCTGAGTCTGCGCACGGCCTAGGTGTATTCTCATGGCTTCTTGAGGATGTCCCCTATCGTTCCCGCATTGAATCCTGCCTTTGTGAACACTCCTGCTATGCTGCCGAGCTACTTGACACATCCTTGCGTAAAGAGCGATTATTACTGTAGCTGGGACAAAAAACGCAACAGTAATTGACACAAGGCTGTAAAGCGGCGGGGAAGGCGGTGGACATCTGACACCAGATCCGGGTGACTCCTCGACAACTGCTTTCCAGTAGAACATCCATGGGAAGGACACACATAGCGACAGACCCCAGGCCAAAAGCATGAGCACACCAGCCACCTTTCTGGTCATCCTCACGGGGTATGTTAGAGGATAAACGATGGCCATGTAGCGATCAGCTGTGACAACGCACAAGTGCAAAATGGACGCAGTGGAGGCCATGACGTCCATCGCGTAAAAAAGAAAACAAGACCACTGTCCCAGGTACCACTCACCTCGGTTGACAAAGCTTAGGCTGATGTAAAAAGGTACGACCACAACTCCGACAAGCAGGTCGGCACAAGCGAGTGACACCAGGAAACTGTTAGTGACGCTACGCAAGTTCTCTGTCTTGACAAAGGCGACAATGACAAGGAGATTGCCGGCGATCACGACCGAAGCGAGTAAAGATGCACACACCGTGGCGACAACTGATACTCTTGCCGATAGACCACCGCTCGCTTCCAGCGTCATCGAAACATTAGCGGAAACGGCCATTTTTGTTACCGTACAACAATTATTTCTGGCGACGACGACGATGTTAGTATGAATGAATTACTGATTAGAGAAATATGGGAGTTTGATAAGCATTGCGACAATGAAAAAACAGTCAACCTTGGTAACAGTTGAACATAATCATGAAAGCATCATCGGCAAAAATCAATGTTAACGTTGTCCGTGTATGCACTACAATTATGTTAACACGGTCTTAAACCCAACGTATACTGACGACTGTTACATTCACCACATTCGAAACATCTCATTTGTAATATTTAAGGTCGCACGAACAGATTATAGAAGAATGTAGTGGCTTAAGATGAAACATGAATTTTGTTTGCATCGAAAGAAAAATCCGTCCAATAACAGTGCAAATTATGTTCGTGCTTCTCTTGCCATTATAAATAACTCGATTCGTAGCTTACACCCTCGTTATGGAAGCAATCAGTTTTTCACCCATGAACCGATGACGCCCATGTGTCATTTGCAGAGACCTCTTCCTGGACTTGACTTCCCTGTAAACCTTGCCAAAATTTGACATCCCTTTTCTTTGGCAATTTAAAACTCTCAGAAATTCTTTGGAGAAAAACGCGCACTGCTTGTTTGAAGATTGTCTCTTAAACCCCAATGGGCTCCGGGCATTGCACATCATTGCTTAATACCCAAGTGCACTGGAAAAGTTGTGGATATTTTACAGCGAATATATATATACCCCTGCGGAAGCATATCTGGGGGAAGCCAAGGGAGTGAGGGAACCAAAAATGTCCTTGAGTGGAAGTAAAAGAATGTGGGCAACCATTACGGGAAAAATACCCCAACCGCCGAATGTAGCCTGGATTATTTCTGGTTCAGCAGTACATGTGTCGTCATTTCTAAAAGGATGTAAGTAGAACTCCTCAACTATTTGAAGCACCCATCATGTGCCCCCAAAATTTGGAGATAGTTTTTGAGCCAGCAACCCAAAGTCATGCTTAAGTTAGGGTTTTAGGCAGTCAACGTCTGTGCATAGGTGAGAGTGCAAACAGCCGTTTATCTTCCATGGGACAATTCCAATGTCTCTATAATCATCTCACTGACATGATAAGTGGAAGCACGCATAATAGGTCTTTGGAGACACAGTGGCCTTGCTGTGTGACGAATATGTGATGACTGGGGCGCTTTTGGAAATATCGTCAGCTTTTTGCTGTACATAAACTGAAACGAACCAGTGTTTAGACTGTAAGGACAACTTCTTTAAAACTGGCAAAAGTATCGACGTACGTCCCTGAGGCTATTTACCGCAGTGGCGACTGACTGACAGCTGAGCCTGTGTTTCTCCGCTGCGAATACAGTCTCTAACATCTTTTAAAATGAGATTCTTCCTTCTTGCCTCCAAATTATCGTGACTCTTCAGTTCATATCGGGCCCGCAAAAGATTCAGATTTTTAAAATTTTCTAAGCTGCAATGTCATCGATGCTCAAAAAGGACAAGAATTGCCCTGTTCAGACAACTCCTGTATCTGGTCGAAATGCCAACTTGAAGGATTCGACCAGTCCAGCAGCCCAAGACACCCAACATTGCTGTGTTCATTTGATTTTGTAAACTGTTTACAGATTCAGCTGTTTCTTAGAGTAAATCAACTCAAAATAAAAGGTTAAGTGTATACATGTGTATTGAAACTCTACAGAAAGTAAACTTACATCACACAGGGATAGTAGTAGTTATGCTCAGGAAAATAGCAATATCATTCACTGAATGGAAAAAAACATACATGTACATGCGTTTCATTTTTTTGGACCGGGGGTACAGGTCTATCTGCCTTGTTTGGGTGGATTTTATTTTTCTTATTAAAATGTAGAGACACTTATAAATCCCCCGACTGCCTTGTTGTCTGCCTATATCGAACTTATCAGTGTACAGACGTATCCGATATCATGACGTCTTAAATACCGCACTCACACGCACATTCTTCAGCTTGACGCTCGTGTCCATTGGCAAATCACTACACCATGTTGGTTGAAGAGGCATGTAACGCGAGCGTACCACCTGTCCACGAGCATTGTGCCATTGCAGTAATGACTTCTAATTCTGGTTGTCGAATTACGCTATGTAATACGCATTGGCCCACTTTTGGCCGGTTTTACAATCCAATTTTATTCCCATTTCATGTCTGGAACTTACAGAAAGTCGAAACAAGTTGAAAACTTATACATGTAGAATGATTTTTATTACAGTGTACTTATTTTTTTCCAATGCCCTTCTAACCATGGTATGTTATATTATGTGCCTCTCGCGGTTAGTCGTAAACAGTCTCGAGTGGTTACTTGCGCGTGCGTGGCGCTACTTGAACTATAAAGTGATGTGGCGCAAAACTAGCTGGTGCTTTATTAAGGAAATCAATATTTAAAAGTGTTGTTGGCCGGTCTTAAACGTCAAAGTCCAGGTCAGGAGAATGGACGTTGAATATCTCGCCAGCGGCTCGGGCAATGTAGTAGCGTCTATTTTCTAAAGCCAGTCTTAAAACGTTAGTTTAACGGATCGGACAAGCTCGTATTTATTCCCATTTATAAATACCTTTTCAGTCATAAAGTAAGAACGAGATCAAAATTATTTGTTTTTAGTTTTCATAACTCGTTTTAGATCTGCCATGTGATGGGCTCTCGACCAATAGGAACTGTTAAACTGTCTGAGTTATCTATGAATGCATTTGAAAGACTAGGAGTACCTCTTCTTTAAGATGCAGAATATTGAACGAGAAGATAATTTGGAACACATTATGCAAACTCACTTCCTTTTACAAAGAGGATTAGTTGATTTCTGATTACTCAACCAACACCCCATCCCACGCTCACTTGCAACTCAATCGCGAAGTGAGAAGGGCGCGTGCAGCCCATATTTAATTAAATCCCTGTCCATTTTGATTAGGGTGACTTCTAGCTAGGCTCTACAGCACGGTTTTCTGCATTGTGATGAACGAGAGACAGGCGAATTTGGAATTTTTTCACGCACTTCGTGCCAGGTACTGGCAAGAGCATAACGCTCTATGCAAAGATGATGTTTAATTACAAAAGTAAACGAACCGTTCGTTTGAAATTAGACGGAACTGGGTAAAGGCTAGTCATGGTCAATTGTCCTTACTGTTTCAGGATACATTTTATTTTTATTTAGAATATTCTGAATTCAACTCCATGTATATTTATTGAAGTAGCCTTTAATAAAGGCGCGCGTGGCTACGTGGACACAATGACGCGTATCTCGGCTGCTAGCACGACGAAGACTACCACTGGTCTTTTCAAGTTCGCGTTACCAGTCGAATATCCTTGGTGCACCAGTGTCACGCGCGTTGACTAAAAGCTAGTATTGAAGAATAATATTTTACTTTCACATCCCCCTTAGATTACGATTTGGAAATCTTTTACACAAGTATAAAAAACGGTGCATTACGGAAGATCTCAAATATTGTCAATTTATCAGTTTACGAATGATTGTACAAAAATATAGTTATCGCGCTGAAAATAAAATCCACTGCTCCTTTATTATACATACCGTTATCTCATATTTGGCGCACATGCCCAGTTTGGACTGATTCCGTAAGCAATGGCGGCAAATCCGAAAAAGGATCATTCATCTTATACACCAAAATTTCTCAAGAACATTGCAACAGAACTGTTCAGATATTTTCACAGAATATCTAACTAGTACCCTGGGTTGCCGACTGAAAAAAATTCACCTCCAAAGACAAAGCCTTTTGATAGACATACACGGCCGTGTCCAGATCTACGTCGTATCTCTCAGCATTGTCGTCAATGAAATTTGTGAGCGTGGAGACGCTAATAAGGTGCTCCTCAATCCAGAAGCTGTAAATATTTGTGGCGTCCTGTAGAAGACGAACAAGAAATCAGGACAAACTCTTCACTATTAAAAGGAAAATAAACTTTGGGAAAAACCCAAGAAAACTTTAGAGTATGTACAGTTCAGTGTTTATATAAATCCATCGAAACACAGGTTATTTTTCTGTTAAAAGATTTGTGAGATGTTGGTTAATCTCTGTCATCCAACTCTCACTTCAGTCGTAAGCACCATAATTCCAAGGTTTTTAGCCTTTTTAGTTTTCACATTGTGGTTAGAAAAGGATAATTCCTTGTTGAAGTGTACCATGACATCGCCCTTTAATTTGTTCTTATGAAACGCAAATGCTATTTATAACAAGTTTTCAAAATCAAACTCTCGTTGCTTAATGGAAGTGTGCATCTTGTTTCTTTACATTGCATAAACTGCAAACAAAGCGTGAAGTCATTTTGAACCAGAAAGGGTAGTGTAAACATTGATCCCCACTATCCGGTTCGTAAGTGACTTCGTCACTAAGGTGGACGCGCCACGATTTGCAGGCTCCCATTGGACGATTGCAGAAGTTGCGCGTTAACTTTCGGTTCCATGGTTCCACTTAAATGGCGATCAATGCATGTAACCCTGGAGAAAACTAAATGTGCTTACAATCCGAGACCGGATCTCGTTGGCCAGCCATCCCCACAGCTTTTCGCAAGGCAGCATGGCGATCAATAGATACACTGGGCTCATTTCCTCAGAGACTTCCCGCCCGAAGTTGATGTATTCGGTTGCGGCTTTCGTCAGTGAAACCGCCTCAGGGTCGGCAATGTGCCATTGTTCGAATAGCTCTCGGTTGTACCTAATGATTCCCGAAACAAAAGCCGTTCATAATTATAAAAGCATTTTTAAAAATTATCTTTAAATCTTTGAAACGAGGGACATTGCTGTCAAAAACAGCTCATGAATTCATATTTAACAATTTAAGTAATTTTCCAAAGTGATAATTTTCCTCTAAAAAATGGTTGTACATGTGGTTGAGGTATATGCAAAGTCAACAATTTCTCAAAAAGAAAAGAAAGAAAAAAATATATTATTTAGCTGCGACCAACACTTGTTCAATCGTACTTAGGCCTATACATACTTTCGGGGCCTTTCCCAAAAATCGAAGTATTTTTTTCTGAAGTAAGGCTAATTATATCTCCAGTAGTATTTCAACCAGATATTTGTAAAACCCATTTAGCGGGTCAACATCAGTTGACAAAAAGGCAATTCGTTTACGGGCACGGTCGGTATGTACATGTATTTGTCATATTCATATGTTGCCAATGCTTTGAGTTTGTCTCAGTATTCAGTTGAAAATCCGTTATCGTCATCGTTTAATGGCAGTAATTAGTGAAAGCGCCAACTTGAGTAGGCGTTGCCACAGCAATCCCTTGTCAACGAAATCAAACTTACTTTTCAGAAGTTTTTATTTGTGCTTGAAGTGCTGCAGCCATTTTAGAATCACCGTTCGCTTTCTGCGTTGCGATTTATAATGCTGTACCACATAGAAACAGAAAACAACATCCTGCACGAAAAAGCTACCTGTACAAAGATCAAACATAAGGTCGAAAAAAACCCACACACATCAGAGAAAGGGAAATAAATGAGCAGTGAATGCAACTAATCAACCACCCATCCTAGCAAGCCAGTGCCATTCCCAAACCATAAACCCTCGTCACGTAAAACGCACTCAGCTTACTAAATGGAATGAACAAGCACTAAAAAATCTTGTCATTTTACAATCGCCTTCTTCTGTAATTCAGATTTAATACACCTATTCATAATAACTTAACTGAGACATTCCCATAGATTCGTGCATTCACTTTGACGACCTAGAGCTCCCAAAAGCCACGAATTTTTGGACAATTTTATTTAAGATCTTATGCATGTATAGCCATCTTAGTTTCCCATTAGAGCGAAAAATACCTCCTTCCATAGAATGAATTATCGTAATGGAGACATTAACATACCTCCCTAATAGCTGTCTTTGCCTGACACATATCGTTCCTACAACTACAAAAATTACTCGTGAAACCATGCATGTAGAAGTGGAAGAAACTGTCGACTGTTTAATCTAAAATTTACATACTAGAGAGACGCTGCTGTCTCTGTAAATCATCCAGGCAAATGATCACTTAACACTTGAAGAGATCCGGACGGTAGATAAAAGCGTTATAAGTCGGGAGCACTATGCTACAGTAGATACATGAGTACTGGCATTTAATGATCTCATTCGGGTCTGTGCGCCCTGAGGAACTGTCAGTGACCAGAGGAAGATTCTTCGTCCCGAGGCCAAAAAAAAAAAAAAATCGGACACCTTTTCCCGAGGGAAGCAGAGATGTGCACGAGCGACTGAATTGAGCCAGTCCATGTGTATAAAACTACCCCTGTCCAAAATACGAATAAGACTAAACCTTTCAGGGCTCTGTGGCTCGTGCGAAGCCTTAGCGCGCGTGTCTATTTCACGCCCATGCAAATTTCATGCGCTAGCCTATTAGTGTACCCACGTGACCTCGTTTTAGTCAACTGAGATAAGGAGCCATTGCGGTCTAATGATAAGAAAGGCAATTGTCGTGTTATTTATTCATAATACATCTAGTAGATATACTCCGTTCTTACGAGGCGGTAGTAACTAGAGAGAAATTTCTCCAGCGGCAACCAAAGGACGTGGACATTTTGTTTTCGAGAGAGCATTGCGGCTTCTACACAAATTGTGTCTTCTTTCCTTCAATAATTGTACACAAATTTGAACATTTGATATGGGGGCAGGAGCTCCGGGGGGAACGGACTTTCGTTGCAGGGTACAACCCGTGCCCCCCGCCCCCGTAATTACTCTACCAATACGGGACTATTCTATACTGTGCAGTGATCGCTTTCCCTGGATTTGTCTAGTTCACCGAAATGCCTAGGATCCAGCAGGCCTGACTTAATTCCCTGGATGAATCTGGAGTGCAGAGCAGTTTGGGCAAGGGCCTGACTCTTGCTATCCTTCCACAGCCATTCTGATAACCGCAGGTTTGCCGTTCCTTGTTCGGCGTCAGCAGCCAACCCCGCTGACTGCAGAGAGAGAGTCTTCAGCAGCGAAGGACAGACAGTCCCGAACAAGAACCACTCTTCGTCCCGCGGACTGCATTCCTCGGAAATTAATGAGACAGGTTTCATGGGTTGTGCAGCACAATGTTGAATGAGTATACAGGACAGTATGAGGACTGCTCGAATCATGTGCACTTGATTGCACATGAAGTCGCAGTGTCAGTATACAGTTTCAGAGCTATAGTGCAGAATTCGTGTGCCAGGAGGTTTTTAACTTAACAACAGCTAATAATCCTTACGAACATCTTGCACGAAAGAACGACTCTCCACACGTTACTGTATAGAAAATGCGCGCACACATCGGTCAGGCAAACTGTATTGTTGAAAAAGCTCAAATCACTAATGCGGCGTTGTCACGCTTACAAGTACACATGTACTTTGTTAAAATAACTTTATCGTTGTTGATAAGAGGGGTCACTTGAAAATCTACACAAGGCAAAGTCCTTCAACTCTACAGCATAGTACTGTATTGGCCACGCACAAAAGAAAAGAATTCAACCCATTTTTCAACCCGGTAACGGTTCAACTGTTGGGCAAAAAAGGTAAAAAGGTTAACTTTCCGAGAAAAAATGCAGAGTGACAATCTAATAGAAATTTATGCTCGCGTGGAAATTATTCGACCTTTTGGGTAGATGGCAACTAGTAGTATGATTATGTTTAAAAACGTATTAAGATCCTTTTAAAGAGGCAAAAGCCACTGCTAAAAAAATCTTGTCTGTCGAGACGATATTTCTTGTGTTCCGAAGAAAATCTGGCGTTTCTGTTTGTCAAAGCGTCCCAGTAATTCTAAAAATCACGTGGAGACTGAACTTCCCGACTTTAGGTGATATTACAGGATAGTCTTATTGGCATATTAACGTTGAAACAAAATGACAAAGATAGACCATTTATCGTCGCTCTGGGCGAACATAATAAAAAAAATTGAGGCCGTAATCAAACGCATTCATGATCTGTAACTGTGACACCGGCCAAACAGACAAACTTTACCCGTGGCTCCAAAAGCATCGGAATATACCAGTACATTTTCATGACATTGTAAACAACCTGGACAAGAAAGTTGTGCGTGTAGATACTTCTTTTAATGTCGGGGTCATCGGTATATGACTTTTCTCACCCGGTTGGTGACGTCAGTCACCGATTGAAGCTTGTCATCTTTAGCAAACTACCAATGATGCTGCTGGTGTGCACATCTCTCTGCGACACTGATGAGGTTTCCCCAGCAGTTGTGAATATTACTGCCAGTTGACCGCCGTTACCATGGAGGCGGTACTAATGCCGGGTCAATAAGTGCAAGTCATACACGACGTCCGGGAATCATAAAGCGCGACGATTCATTTGACCCATAAATGCAGCTATAGGGCCTATCAAAGGGCGGATCCGGGGGGGGGGGACAACGGGACTGAGGCCCCCCAAACCGATACAATTTTTTAAATTAACGTGAAGATATCAAGTGTCTTAAACTGAGGTTGTTTGGATTTTGATACGGCCTCGGTTGTATCGGAAGGAAACACCCTCTCTGGAAACTAGGTTCTCTCTTAATGTGGAACATGCAGTTGTCTAGGGACTAGTTGCGAGTTAATACAATTTTTGATTAACTGGAAGATCCATTATGAAGGTATCGTCATGATTTTCTGATTGAATGCAGGGCTATACTTAGTTATGTTCAGCCGTCTACCGAACAGCTCTGTTCGGAAACGTAAATAAAAATGTAATAAACAGTTTTCAATAAATGTTTTGTAAAATTAATGTTTTGTCACGGGCGCCACTAGCCCGGACGGTGGGGGGGGTACAGCCTGACGGCAACGTTTTCAGGCACATGCGCAAAACTACAAGTGTTTTCCTTTTGTGACATTCTTCAAGGTTAATTAGACGCGGGATGGCAGTCACAAACGTTCCATGTGACACAAAATCATGCAGAAGCAAAGCCAGTCCATTAAAGTATAACAACCATATAGATGAGCTAATTTGCAGTCAATAATCGCGGCTTTCGTTTGAAGAATAAAAATCTATTTTTCGTCAAACCCTTGATCCAATAATGGATATTACTGATTGGTACAGTTGAAATTTTGACAACAATTGGGTCTGCATGATTTCTGCGGCTGGCCCCGCGCTGGGAGGAGAAATGCTCTTTACAAAATGTTTGTGAAGGAAATATGTCACAGCTATGGATGCTCAAGGAATCGTGGATGTAATTACTATCCATGCATGTACATTAATTGTGCACGTGTCATGCGCACGCCAAATGCTGACCAATGTTTCTGTTAAATAAAAAAACTCTCTGTCAAGTGCGTCCTCTAAAAATGACGCATTTGCCTTTCCCAGCGCCCTAGTAAAGGCAAAGTTTTCTCTATGTTTGCTGCCACCGAGAGGTGGTGGTACGTACAGTAAAAGTTCATAGAAAGTGAGGTAACTTCGACGCGTGCCCCTCACCACAGCCTTCGACTAGAAAACTTTGACGGACCTCTGTCTCGAGTGCTGGATTTTCATCGGCCCGCAACCATCAAGTTCGGGCACGAAAGTCGATTGCTCTCAATGCTCATGCGCAATTCAGTCACACTCGACGGACCCCAGTCGGCCTATTTTTTTTTTTTAAATCTCATCGTTACTTCACAGTTGGCCGCTATTCTCGCAACGTACTTTGCCACTGAAATATTTTACCTTCACCGTTGGATACCACACATCACACCGAGGGGCAAGTTTGAGCTACGACTATACTATAGTTCGACTAACACCGCCCGAGCGATGAATGGTTTTTTATTTTATCTAGCCGACTATTCGGGACCAGGCCCAGGTGTGTGGTCGCACTGTTGGTTATCAAAAGCCGATTTCATTTATCCATTTATCATTACGGGGGAACCATTCAGTGAAAATAACACAGCCAACGATGAAATGTGAGTAACGACAAGACTTATTTAAACAAATCGATTGGGTCGTTCGAGTTGCGCATGCGCACTGAAAGCAATACGGGCGTTTCACAATAGTGCACCTCCAAGAGTTTGCAACTGATGGGCCAATCACAATGCGCGAACTCTGTCGACCCAATGCGCGTTTGGAAAGGGTCGTCAAATTTCGCGCGTTGTGATTGGCCAACGCGTTTCAAACTCTTGGAGGCGCACTATTGTGAATCGCCCGTATTGCCTATTAGTCGAACTATAGTTCACGCCAGAACCGAGGACGCATGGAATAGTTTCCACGTACAGTCCAAATTATGTAGGGACCACTAATCAGACTATTTCATTGGTACCTCAGCTTCCGTCACCTATCTGCAATTGTGAACAGTGAAAGTTTGGTTAAAGTTCGTTTCCTCGCAAAAGTTCCTCAACATAATGTCTGGTCTTCAAGACACAAACAGATTCTCCTCCAAAATGGATTTAAAATTGCTTTCGAGCAAGACACGTGTAACCACAAATACACCGGGACATACAGCAAGATGTAGAGTCCATCCAACATCGTTCAAATTTTGGTTATTATCGGCCCTGCAGACACTCGTTTTAATTTCATTTGAGACCATCGGTATGTTCAGGTGAGGAAACTATCAGAAAGAACAGACAGCAGTATAACAAAACAACTGTTAACTGCTGTGATATGGGATATCATGTTTTTAACAACCGATGGACCCATAGACCCCGAGGCGAAAGTAATTGTTACATCTCTTTGAGTTCGTTTAATTTATACGTACAAACAAAACAAAATTTTGACGAGGTATGAAATTTTTCCTAAGTTCCAACTACTCCTGAATTATGTTAAATTTAATACTGTTATTCCATGCAGGCCTACCTCTAATGGCATGGCTGATCTAAAGGGGGTGCACTTTGATTTATCACTTTTTGTGCCTTGTTAGACGATATATTTGTATCTAAGATTTCACAATAAAATATATTTCATGACGCTCTAAACACTCCTGTTCATAAATCCTGAGTTTACAAGCCCACCATACTACAAATTTCCACCGAGACTCTACTCTGGCAACATGACAAGGAAAAAGCTCTTTTCAGAGCGTGTGAAATAAAGATCACTTCTTACTTGTTTTATGTAACCGATGCATACATATATCTTTATGGTATAACATTAATTTGCGATTTACTTTCTACCAGCAAGTTTAAAAATATCAAAATGCTTAAAAATCCTTTTCTGTCTTCACGAAACGCATCTCAACAAACTTTATGTTTTAATATACATTTGCATTAAATTTTTCTGTCAAGTAACATTCGCTGGTTTTGTTTTCACAAGTTCCTTTAGTCGCTGTGATGAAAAACACATGCGTTAACATCAATAAAGCATTGCTGTACTGGTTCCCATTGCACAGCAGACTAAAAAAAGTAGCCAATGGACGCGTTATGAAAATGCGGCAACCAGTCAATGCACATCGCGGCCGGCCACGCCAAATGGCATTACCACATGTACATGTATGCTACCGTGATGCTACAGGTCGAAAAACAACGATGGAGAAAGAAGATTCCCGCAAGTTAATTCGCAGGACTTGACCTCTTGTATATGTACGTATTTCACTCGTTCACGTATTTAGTTTGAAGTTTTGCTACTCGTATTTGAAATGAGCGTGTTTCCATAAAATTTCTGCCGCAGCATGAAAGTTCATCGCCCGCCCGAATGAACCATGCTTACAACACAATACTTGTACATCTATACGCCGACATTGTTGGCCAGCTGCTCGTCGTGACTAGTGTTATGTATAGTGGCGCGCACGACCTAAATTTTCATTTATTCATTCAGCATCATCGACCTTTTTGTTTATTAATGCTAACGGAAAAACTGCCGGCTTAAATCAGCATATAATTGAATACCCCATTCAATCGGCACGAACAAATGTAAACTAGCTTCTTCCCAACCAAATATTTGACCTATCGACCCTTCATGAAAGTAATAGGAAACAGAACTGTTTTTTGGCCTAATCTTGAATTATACATAAAGCTTTTCAGTGAGGGCCCAATATAAACATCACTTCATTATATCTTCCAATGCATCACGTATTACTTATAAAATTCATTACTTTTCATGTAGTCATACACTCTTCACAGTGACTTCTTCATTATGCTAACAGATGTTACATGCTGCAAAGAGTCCAAGTTGAACAACCAATAAGTTGCAAAGCTTGGGCCGGCTTCTTCATGGCACAGAGGTAGCATGAAATACTACAGTAAATTCATTATTTTGATTCACTTAACGTCTACTTTTTATCCTATTTTATTTTGGAGCTTTTCTTTTCTATTTATAAGACTATTTCAGCAATTAGGTCCCAACACTTAGTACACTCATCTCGTTTAAGTATTGCTGCGTGGTTATACCAACTTAGTGACCATCTGCATCATCTTGTATGCTGTCCCTGGAGCATCAGCAGGAACCTAAAAAATGAAAGAGATAAGATGTAAATATTGCATATAATCAACATGGTTTAAAGGATCTGCTTAGGCTACTCCTACAGAATTACATTTTCAGCTTTATTTAATAAAAAAATGCTGCACTACCTGTCGTTTCTTATTATTCAAAACCTTTTAAGCAAACACATATGATCAAAGCCAGAGGGGTAATATAATATTTGTCGTATCAGTTTTCCATTTTGATAAAAATTCCCTTTTCAAACACCTAACTCTGATCATGTTTTCAAAAAATGAATGAAATTTTAAAACTCCTGGATTGGAAAATTTGTGGCATTCCACATCCCCCAGGGTGAACAGAACATCATCACCACCCCGAAATAGTACTCATCTATAGATGTGTGCGCCGCTGCTGCTGTAAACACAGGTTTTACGAAGTAGCTCGCAAATGCAGGTGAGTGCTACTTGGTGGTGTTGATGACGAGATGTGTACCAGTGCATTCGTTGGCTTTGCTGGACAATATTTTTAAAATGAGGAGAAACTAATATACCATGTGTCCTGCCTTCATGATCCAGTAGAAAGCAAAATTCTGGTAGGACTTGACAAATGCTGCTCGCTTCTGAGAATAAACAAGGATGGATTTCCAAGAGCTGTTGTTGTAGGAAGGAAGACCACTCCATTTCAACTTCTGCACCCACACTTCAGTGCCTAGTAAAAATGGGAGGATAAAGGGAAGGCAAGGAAACCATGCTTAAAAAGCCAATGAATGTACAACCACAAACATAATCATGTTTTGATAGCAAGCAGTTCTCATTTTGGAAAATGTCTATGGAATATAAAGCACTACAACTTTACATTATGGCTGCTTTGCAAAACCACTGTCATTGAAAGTGATTTGGAATGGCATCTTATTCTGTGCATCTACGGCTTCCGATTTGTTTATTAGGATAAAATATCAGACCTGGTTTAAGGGAGAATTTTGACAACTTTGAAGTGTTTTTGTAATATATAACAAAAATCAAAAGCATCTCAGGAGCACAACGGCTACACAACGACAATAGGGCATTAAGAAATGAAAAAAAAATCTAATTCATGGTGAAACTGTTACTTACAAGTTTGATCAATTTGGTGGGAAAGGGAAAAAGCTCTTTAGAAATTTTCATGGACCTGCCAAGAACATAATCTTTTATTTGAAGAATCTGTCATTTAGCTATTCATAAATACCTTAGACAGTCTCCCTATTCAACGTGCAACATGACCATGTATTAACATTCGATAATGTCTGCTGAGAAATGATAATGCCCACTGTGTAAATCATGCACTGGCACCTAGACACAAGACAGTCAATTCTGATTGGTCAAGAGTCTGTGTGAACACAGCTTGCCAAGCACATGCCAATTGGGTGATTTGCATGCGGAATATACCATAAAATGGACGGGGGTGTTTCGGAAAGGGAAAGTAAAATTGCTTGAAATCCATTACAAACTGACTTCATTTGACTCACTGACTAAAAGAGTATTTATGAATGGGAATAAATATGTGCTTGACTGGTCTTTAAGTATCATTGAAGACCAGCTCAGGAGACCGAACGCTGATAATGCCTGAGCTGCAGTCGCGTCCATTCTCCTGAACCGGTCTTAAATACACATTTAAGACCAGCCAAGCACATATTTATTCTCTTACTAATGTAATGTAGACTTAATTTAGCAGCAAAAGTTGATGAAGTCATGTGCTCAATGGGGCTTCATTACACAAAAGCTGCAAAGTGTAAAGGTCAAAATGTATCGCTTTAAATTAAAATTAAAAACTGTTACCCTCCACACAAATTCCTCTCTAAACATAAATGGCTCTGTGAAATTTGAAGAAGCTGGTCAAAGTGAAGTACAATAAACAAACAGTACAGGGTAGGTTTGTTGCAGATCTTACCTACTGTGTCAACTATCAGATCTAGTTGACCACTATACACAACCACAGAAAGATTAGAATCTAGCAGACTATCAACTGTAATAAGAAAATAAAAACAGCTGTCATGCCAAAATACCTTTGCTATATGCTTGCCTGTAGTTGTTTCTCAGACAGACAAAGAAGAATGTGCTGTATGCAATAATAGTCTACTTTTATTCAAATGACATCTTTTCTGAAACATGAACAGGAATTTGCTTAGTTTTCGAGGCACTGACATGTCAATATGGACATTTATTAGGGTCCTAAAATACGCACAGCATTTAATGCAACACCTAATCTTTAATAGGTATGATATCCTCATGGAACATCAGGCAGATTGTCAGCTTTGAGAATTCTTCCTGTTTTCACTGTGCAACAAAAGCTACCTAGATTGGCTTTTGGCCTTTCATGACTGCTTTGTATGGACTGCATGTTTTATGACTGCATGTGTTGTAAAACAAATAATTTTTTCCTTACCAACATCGTACACTGGCTTCATAAAATCAACCCTTAGATGAGAAAACACTTCATCAGCCTGACCTACATGAAAGACGCATTAAAAACTTGAATTCTACAAATAATTCCCGAGTGTATTTCAATCTGAATTGCAACGGCATATCCCTCAGCCAAGAAATGTAAAGTGACTGAAATCATGTGGCATCAGGTAAAAGCAAATTTGGTTGCCCACCAAATGAGAAGCTAAACTGAGATTTTGACTGGCTGGACGTCATGATTAGATGGTTAAACTTGACACCAGCCTTCTTGAATAAGGTCACTATATGCAAGGTTGTCCTACCAAAACCCATTTATCTACTTGTATCAGCAAGCCCAGGAGTATTTAGGTAGTCCAGGTTGCTACATATTCAGCAGATGTGAAGCACTTTGACCCTTTGACACTGCGCTCATTAACAGATGGATGCAAGGCCCCTGGAAATATTTGTCTTGACAAAACATGTCAACAACAAACAGATTATTCAGAGAAATAACATCAATTTTGTCCACTTGGCCACAAAGAAACCTAACAAATTCAAACTGGTCATACCTCCCCATGTGACATTGTTAGGAATTCCAAGCTTCTTCTTTATTGGGCCATTCATCAAAGCATTCAGGTCGCCCTGCTGAAGTGGTTTAACATGTCTTCGGTATAACTTTTCTGGAAGAGAAAAAGAAAAGTTGATGAAAGCATGTAAGAAACTGTGAGTTCAAATTTTATTCAGTCAACATCATAAGTGTGAAGCATTACTTCCTATATGAGAATGACACTCATCAATATCAGCGCTCAGATCAAAAGGCCATAGCTCCCAGAGAACTTGCCTCATATTTCAACCCCATTTCATTTACCTGTACAAAACTGACTGCCTTTTGGGATGGATAAATTTTACCAGCCTTCCATTCTACAAGTCAACACAGATTATGCATGTGCAATATTTAAAACCTTTTACTGAATAATTTGCTTTGGTCAGATGGAGGATTCATGTGTATTGATCAGTCAACTTACCGAGTGGGGTGAGGTGTGGCTGGCTGTCCAGACGTTCATACAGGCTCTCTCCATAGTTAGTCAGAATGTTGTAAAAGTTGACACCATCAGTTTGCTAAGAATGTGAGACCCCCCCCATATTGTGGATATTTTAAACAAAGCATTTGATATGTGTACGTCAGTGACTCAAACTCACTTACATGTAAGTTAAGATGCGCAATGAATTAGAAATTATTTATAGACCAGACTAACTTGACCGGAAGCTCAGATCTGACAGCAAAGTGTCTTGCTATATCACAACGCTCCAAAATTTGAGAGTACAATCTGAAAAGCTGATTGAAACCAAAGTTTATTCTTAGCCGCTATGGCAGGCAGTATTTCATGCAGTAATGCATCTAATAGAAATTAATTTTGAATCATGAAGCCAAATCTAGAACACAGATGCGCATTATACAACTGGAAGAGTCATTCGTTGGTGTTTGTTTTGTTTAGTATTAAATGAAACATAAATTCAATTTTTAAGTCACAACTTGTGGACAAGCCAACGAAGTTGCAACCTACTTATCTCAGACTGAATTTTAATAGGATTTTAGAATGAAGAGGCTTAGACACTCAACACAAGCCTCCTTTTGAGCGATTGGAGCATCTGCATGAAGAATTTGGCCAGTTGTAAGACCTACGTTTTCAACCACGTCCTCACATGAACTCCACTTGTCCGTGGCCTCAGCATATTTTCCTTGATTGAAGGCATCTTCAACAGCCTTGGCTGCTGTATTGACAGCCTTCAGTCCCTTGTTATCCAGCAATGACTGCATAGATTAAGAAGAATATAACCAACGATGGCAGATGTTGATGAAACTGATATGTGTAGTTCCACCACATGCAACAAAGTCAATTACAGTTGCATATGGGAATCTTGTATACAGATTCTTGTGCTTAATGACAGGGGGACTCACAGTTTTGATTGCAATTTCTTCTGCGAGGAAACTTCATATGTGCAAGGTATAGAACAAAACAATATACATGTAGTATGAACAATATAAGAATACTGTAGGAACAAAGTATCCATTGAAACACACTCAAGAGTGAAGTAAAATCTCGCTCTGATGCAGAGTTGGAGACTGATCTGTGTGCTGTTTTCCTTATGATCCCTGACAATGGCGGACAGTTGCAGTGTTGTAGTCGAGACCATCACAAGACCAGACACACGACCAGACACAAGATCAACACAAGGCCATGCACAAGACCATGCACTGGCCCAGTCAAAAGTTACAGTGTGAACAATGACAAAGGAATGCTTTGTTGCAGTTCAGTTGAATAGCTTGTGACTTGAATCCAGACTGGAGGTCTTGTGTTGATCTTGTCTTGTGTGGTCTTGTGAAGGTCTTAAATGATCTCATCTACAACATTGGTCAGCTGTAAGACCGTCAGGCATTGGCAATTTAAAGGCTGATCCAATACAGGACCTGCTAAAAATGGTGGGGGCAACCTAGCCCAGTCGAAAAAAGTTGGGCAGCCACTGGCCTCCCTGGTCCCCTGCTTCCGCCACCAGTGATTCCAACAGAGAGACAACTTAAACATTCAGGCTTTTCTGTATGTTAAGTTAGGCAGTATGCCATGTACTTTATTTACTCATACTGTCGAAGATACTTACAATTGAATAAAGATATGGTCCCCAGGAGTTCACAGAATCTGTAATGAAGATACCAGAAAAAAATACTTTTGCAGACTTCCATGGCAAAGTGTTTTGAGAGCAGGCTCAAATTACTGTAAAGAGAGCTGGGAAATATGAAAAGGAAAGTAAAAAAAACAGTGACGTTGAGTGCATCCGTACATTATCAACTGCACTGTATACTCACCAACAGGTGAAATCCAGGAGTCACCGAGGGCCACTCCCTGGAAATTGCAGCTGATTTCTCCTGCTTTTATGGCCTGAACAAAGTTTGAACAGAGGGCATAAAACTCACGAATCTCAATTTGTCTCAAAACATTGCTAATTTACAGTATTTTGTGATATTCTGTGACCAGATCCAGCAAAAAATATGACTGACTTGTTTGTATGATGGGTACTGCATACCCGCGGGTAATAGTAGTTTATTTTACTTTTGCAGTCCCTGACCCACATAACTATTATTCTTGTTGTGTATTCGGAATTTTGTCCCTGGTCCCTGCTACTGCTTATATTTACTTGTATGTGTGTTCTTCTTGTTTTTATAACCATTTTGTTCAATTTTGCTTTGTTTGTTCTTGTGATAGTCAAATAAATAATAATAAGATTGGCTCGGCTGTGTTTCAGCTGGGCATCATAAAGCACATGCTACTCTGCCAATTCCGACATGAAGAGATTGTTAGTACGTAACAAATCTTTACCCCATACAATTAAGTCACAATTGATGAGCTTAAGGGGTGATTCACAAAAGAAATGAGGTAGAACTAATGAACAAAATTGCTGGAAATGGTAAATCTTCAACTTACTTTTCAACTTTCCACTGAAAAAGATTTTTCTGAGTCTAATGAAATAATCGATAAAGTGCTTGAGAAAACTGCTGCATTAAAGAAATTTGGGAACCACATCTTGGGCAGCATCTGAATGAATGCATCATGAAACATAGTAACAACCAGTTGGAGAATTCTCACCTGCAATAGAGCCTGGGCAAAGCCGGCTGTCATCTTTCCTCCATAGGATTCACAGAATATGTATAGACGATTTTCCTGAAGGCAAAAAGGGCTTACCAAAATGCCATATCAATAAAATATAGGCCTATGTCACACTTTAACATGTACATTTTCCTATGGAACCTGTGGGGGACTTGCTCCACTAAGCACCATACAGCACATGCAAATAAAGTGTGACATCAAACAGTGCAGACATCAAAGAAAAATCAGGTTACCAGTGAATATGTCAGATGATTAATACTGTGGCTGGTACTTGACAGATTTCTTAAAATTCTGTGACTTGAGTAAGGTCATATCATTTTAACACAGTGAAATGAGCAAAGTCATTTGCTCACCATAACTTTGGTCAAGTCGAATTGTTTACCTGTTAGGGCTCGAGTCAAGTGACCAATAGTTGCGACTCGGGTTGGACTTAAGTTGAGTCAACGACTAAAGCCAGTTTGAATTTGGGCTTTGACTCTTTATATTTTGAAACCAGGGCATAATTTCACAAAATCGGGGTATAAATTTTGTGCATGTTTTGAGACACGTCATGTCATTTAACCCCTCAGTACTCCAGTCAAGTTGCCAAAATTTGTGTCATGAGTCAGACTCTAGCCCAGTCATTGACTTGACTCGTTACAAGTCTGCTCTGAGCATTTAAATTTCTAGCACAATTCAGTGGATCCACAGACTCGACTTGTGGATCAGACTAAATTGCTGCCTGAACCAATTTTGACTTTATTAATCCCTGTTAGACAGGCTTGACATTTCCAACTACCTTTAATTCGGGGTGGCGCTTGTAGAAGCTAATCATAAGTGTAACTAAATCTTTTCCAATCTGGGTGTTGTTGGTGGCAAAAGCATTGGGAGATGTTGTGTAGCTGTATCCTGTCCCAACAGGGTTGTCAATAAAAAGAACATTGGCTGTCTCCACCTGCATCAAACATGACCCAGAAAAGAAACTCCCAAGTAGCATTTTTCAAAAGTTGTCAAATTAGGAAATTTGGGTGCTTTTGAAATTTAATTATGATGCCTCCTGCCGACGTCTTCACCGACAAACAATAAGTCAATAGCTCTTTTCTGCTTTGTTAGATTAACTCAAATTCTGTTTGTCAGACTTGATCCCAACTCATCCACATCAACGAAAATCTCACGTACTGTTTTCCTGATAAATCAATAAAAATGAGCTTTCTGTCTCAGTTTTTGAATGCGTAATGAGGTGTCATGAGTTGCCAGGAAGATTCCCATTATTCTTTCTTTAGGATTAAACTACCTTTATATATCTGAAGTCAGTTTTCCGTGTCCACAGGTGACATGATCTCTCTAATTTTCTTCATTTAGTTCATCTGTTTAAATGACTTATTGTTTTGACCTACCCAGGTGGCATTTCTTGGCTTCAAGTTTACATCTTGTGGACCGATCTCCATGAAGTTACCAAAGCCAGTCGAAGAACCACCAGGACCGCCCTAAAAAGGTGAGACAACAAGAGTGAATTCCAAACATGTCAGTTCAGTGGAAAATAGTTTGGAAGAGAGGGGATTTTTGCTTGTTATGAGCTAAAAAAAAACTGACTTAAAAAAATGCTTTGTACAAATTTGATAAACATGTTTTACTTGGAGTGAGGCAACACAGTAATGACAGGTCCAAATCAAACATGCCTCAAATGAGCGACTTTGCTAATTTGCTGATGGCCACTCGGTACCTGTAGCCAGATGACTACTGGAGCAGATTGTGGATTCTTCTGTGCTTGATACAGCCACCAAAACATGTAGGCATCCTGACGCACATTGACATAAGCCCAGTCCTCCGTTTCTTGAAACCCATGGCCTTTGAGAAAAAACACATATGCAAATAAAAAACTTCCCATACGGGTACATGTACAAGCATGTAGTTAATCCTGTTCTGAAACTGCAGACTTGAAGTAAGATTAATGTAACATTCCAGACTTGACCCTAGAGGTTGGACTCAGCATGCATTCTGAACATTGTCTTAGTCCCATTGAGTACACAGTCTTACACACCCACACTTGTTTCACACATTAAGTGTGGACATTCCTTTGTTCTCCTGTGGTTAAGATAACTTGGGAAAATGCTCCTTTTTCTCCCACTAGGACAACTCCTCTGAGTAGAATTTTTGATGATTATTTCCTGGACCGTTCCTTTTCATTTTGCCACAGATACATTTAACCCTGACCCCAAAATGCCTCTGAAGCTGTTTTCTACAAAGAGGGAAATATTGTGTGGACGTGTGCAAATCCACACAACGCCATCATACCCTGTATTATGAGGACTTCCTTTGTGCAGATGTCCACACTATATATGCCATGCCTGCACATGGCTTTGTGCATAGGTGCCAAGACAGTTATAAATTTGGTTTTGTTCTCCAAACACGATATACAGAATATACATGTATTTGTGCCGGGACGTTGGTTGCCACATCCTCACCTTGCAGAGGATCAAGTTGAAACTCAGCCAGTTATATGTTTCTTACACATGTATGAAAATGACTCAGAACAAATGCATTACGTCTTGTGACAGACACAGAAACTAAGAAAGATTTTTCTGGATAAAACTTTCACAGCACATTTTCAAAAGGAAATAAACTGATGTTTTATTGTTTTTCCAAATCCAGAGTTGATTTCCTGATATTGGTAATTCACACGAATGACATGACTTGTAAAATCTTGTGAGGACTTGTTTTGGACTCATTAACGATTATGTCAAATTAAAATAAAATGTCACAGTCCTTCTTTGATCAGTTTCATCCAAGTCACTTATCACTGTTTCCTTTAAATTATTTTTGCCAACCCATGTACATGTTTATATCCAAAGCACTGCACGAATGACTGAGCTTATGTGCAAAGCCAGTATGTCGGCATACATGTTTGTTCATTTAAACTATCTGCCACATGACATGGTCAATGCTGTTTTGTACACCAAAGGGAGCAAATGACACCCTCATCTGGCTTGGCAATTTGGTTCAAGAACTACTGAATTGATAATTTATGAATTAAATACACTTTTGTGGATTAGTCTTTTGCTTTTGTCCTAAAGGCCCTGCACTGATGGGTAAACAATAATGGAAGTGATGTCGGGGGGGAGGGAGACTCATGTAGATAACTGAGAGAAGCACATTTAAAACACAATTACTTGTTAAATGTATGCCACCCAATGATGCTGCCACACTTTAGCAGTGTTGTATTCAACTCCATCACAAGTCCTTTCACAAGTCCCCACCCAAGTCCAGTCACAAATCCATTCACTAAGGCCAGCCACAAGTCCAATCACAAGGCCAGTCACAAGTTCATTCACAAGGCTAGTCATCATAAGTAACAAGGTGAACAATGACAAAATAATGCTTTTGTCACAGTTAATTTGACAGTGTTTGAACAAGATTGAATGACTTGTGATAGACTTTAAGGGACTTGTGATGGACTCGAATACGGTCTTGCGCTTTGGACATGTCCTGTATCAATAGTCGGACTTGAGAAAGCACACTCAACATTTCACACTCCAATCAAAACATTTCACCGCATATCATATGCACAGTCACCCGCCTGATCATTGAGTTCAGGCTTAAATTAAGCCTTGTAACCAAAGTTTTTAACAGATACTGACCTCTAAATGACAAGGCCCCAGTCACTGTGTGACTCCCGAAAACAATTCCTAGGGAAACAAACACTAACAAAGTCCGCATTTTAAAGTTTGTTGCTGCTGGCTCCGTGAATGTGAAATGTGATCCGTAATGCGAGCGGTGCGCGTGACGCGAGTCGGCGACAGAATCTGGAACTGTGAGTCGGGTCATGTGATGAGCAAGCAAACGCACGTGATAATCATCACTTGTCAGGTGATCGACTCTTAGTCTTGCTCCTGTCGCGTGTATGTATTAAACAGCAATTTTCACCGTGCGCCACGTGTGCAAGACCAGTTGGGCATTTTAATGAAAAGCCTCACGTTGCCCTCTCGTGAAGTATTTTGGGCGGTAATTTCTTTTGGATTGTCCTCACAAAAATATCAAAGAAAGCGCATGTGGTAGTGTACCTGGGCGTCGGCTATGGGAATATATAGAGTCTGAAAGTTGACTCCAGATTAGGAGTAGCGCGTTTCCAGAACTCTCGGATAGGCAAAATACATGCAAAAATTTCAATCACTATAGACATTATATTTATTCACTTGTTACAATTTCAGCTCCGTAAAAAAGCTTTTGTAGAAAAGTTACTGGCATATTAACTAATGAATAAAAACCAAAAAATTACTCAGCAATAACGTGTCCAAAGCTGACCTCTCACTTCCGAAAAATACATACCGGTACGTACTGTGCGACCAGACTCGGTGTACTCGTGCGCAAATGGTAAGTTACAGAATTATCTTATGACACTTTGTAGGTAAAACTGAAATAAAAACAGGAGAACCATAAGTTTAACAGTTTCTGTATTTAGAATGTTTTAAATTTAGATCTCTTCGACTAACTCTGCAAAGTTATACCTTAGTTGTCGTTCACAAGAAAATAAAGCATATGAGCGTATAAAAGAGCTATAGAGATCTTGGAATGATGATGCTGGACTCGTGACGTGAAGCGTCGTCAATGAAATTCGCTTTTTTACCTGCCCAATGCAAGTCAGTCCTGCTGGCAAAAGTTTGGAGGGTGGGGGCTGATGGCCACTCACTTCATGCATGGCTCACAATGCATTCACTCCATGCACAATTAAGGGCGAGTCCATGATAAGAATCACTGTTATTTGTCATTTGAATGCCTTTGTATGGAATTTACTTGATGGCACGGACCATAGTTACCTCCCTAAAACAGCTTTCCACTCACATCCCCCCTCATCTTCAATTTATCACAATAGGCAGATAAGGCCATGGCACGAGAGGTTATTTCGATTCGACTCCGTGGCTTCCAAGGGATTTATGACCCATTCATGGCATCCGAAAGTCTGTCAGTCCTGCATTACACACGGACTCAAGTAATCACAAGGAACAGGATTTTGTCCTTGTCATATAATTGCAAATTCGAACATTTTAACATTTCAGTTCACTGACTGTGCCGACGTTTAAGGGAATTTGAACTGGTCCAGGGAATTCCTTGGAAAGGTGCACATCTGTACTCGCCCCTTGTGTCTCCAGAGTTTACCAAGTGAACTAAGTTTTTGGTGCTTTTCATCAGAATGAAACATTCAAATCTGTTGGCCACTGAATAACACTTAAAATTCTTCAAATATCAGAGCTGCCTTCTACACGCTCCGATTGTATAAATTCTTCAAAACGCTCGGAATGGGAATGGAACTCAGTTTTGCGAAAACAACAGTGATTGACAAGTGGGCTAATCATGCGCCTTTTATTTGGCGCTTTTGAAGAGAAGCATTGAGCAGCGCTCGCCTGTTTTGGCTCATGCAGCGCTCTTTAACTATATGAACAAGTCATATACTTGTTGAAAACAGTTGACGCAAAAGCAGATGTGTGGCATCAAGAATTTCCAAGCAAAAGAGATGTATCTTCGCCATGACTTCAAGAGAAACAGCACCTAGAATAAACTGAAGTGATGCCACAGTTGGCCCATTTGGCATAAAAAATGGTTCATCGTGCTGTGTGCCGTGCCTTCGTCCACCTCGGCCACCCTGGTGGCACGGCAAGGACGGCCGAGTCGTCAACTGACTAATTGGCATCAGTCTTCCGCGTTAGAACAATTCACGGCACTGGGTGATACCCAGAAATGGCGTAAATGAAGTACGTTTCTTGTTCAGCACGTAGGCCTTTCACTCAGTGGAAGTTGTTTGGGTATTCTTCACTGTTGCAGAAATGGATACTATGTAAATGATTGCCGGGGAAAAAATCTCACTCCAAACTCAGGACAGATAAACGTACGAAAGGGAGACCGCACCCTCTCGTCAGTTGGAAAATCGCTGTAAGAATTTAGCCCTGACGTTATTGACAAGGACCACTAACTCTGCCTTGGTGGTTGCCTTGAGGGATGGAAGTGAACAAGAATGTTATGCTCTCAGTAGACAGGTAAAGATCTGTGTCAAATGAAATACATGTACATACTTGTCTGCGCGGAAATAGCCTCCTTTACCTTCTTAACCTTATGGAGTTCAGCTAGTCATGGCGCTTAGTAGTCGGGGAGTCTCGCCAAAATGGAAAGACAAAGAAACGCTTGATGTGTATAAATCTATCAGACTGGACAAAAAAGTTTTCTAAGTAAATTCTTCGGAATTTTCTGAGCTAAATTTCGCTGTTTGGGACATTTTCTTACTTTTTGATGATTGTTGTATTTATATTATTTTAATGGAAAATTAGTGTTGTCCGTATATGAACCTCTTGCCGCCAGGATTTTGTAAAATTTGCTGGAAATCGTGCTCGACCTTCTAAATGGCGGCTTCCACGTTACATCCTGATGTACGCAAACAGCGGGTTTTCATTTATCATAATTATAGCGGAGTCCCTTAACATGGCACACCTTGATGTTTCCTGCGACATTCCCCATTTTATTAAATTTTATTTGTTTAGTTGTAATTTTATTTTTAAAATCCAATTCATTCAGTTAGTATATAATGTATGCTCTTGAACCTTTGCGAACATTTTCAGTGTCGTGAAATTTGGTCCAACATTAAAAATGACGGTGTCCTGAAATTGGGCACGAACTCAGCTCAGTGTTCTTCAATGTGCCGCACTTTAACAAAACTCATAAAATCCAAATTAGAATTCTTTTAAAGCTTACTTACACTGATAAATCATAATTACATCTACTAAAAAAACCCAACAAAAAAATTTGTAAAAAAAGTCTTCAGTTATTCTTTGTGACTTCCTTGGCGCTACGAGCATCTACTATATAAGCTGGTTAAGCCACGAGTGCATATCCTTGGTAACAACAAATGAACCAAATTCGCCAAAATTCAGTTTCCAGCATATAAAAGTGAAAGACCACTTGCAAAAAAGATAAGTTGCATGCAATACCGAATGCATTTATGAAACTTCAAGTTTGACTTCAGGACTGACAAATTTTAACTGCATTTCCTTATAAAAACAAACCTAGACGAATTTGTCTGTTCAAGTACCACACAGAAGGGACCTTTCAGAACCGAAAATAGTCATTTTAATCCGTCCTAAAACCGACATTACAGCTGCGGGGAGGGGGTGATAAAAAGGAGGTCTAAATTCTGTTTACGGGTTGCACAAGTTGTTCCACAATCATCCATTGTCCGAAGCCGGTACAAATTCTTTTGACAGTTATAAATCAGTATTTGACTATGATAATAGCCTAAATAGTGGCCTTGACTTATGCAGTGAAAGAACGATACATTTACCGGTTTGTGTTTTCTCGTGCAGTTGGCAGACACCCTCGGAAAACGTTTTGGCGGGCAACGGAGCCGTGTCAAGTGGGGTGAGTTTATTACAGTTTTCACATTCAAAGCACACAGGAAATGACCCACATTTAGATTTTCCTTTCCCCCATTAAAACAAAAGTTTTAGTGCTATCAATACTAATACGTGAAACTTCATGATGGCATGGTCCCAGAAATCATTACTTTTATCCTTGCGTGGGCTGTCAGGGAGATCGAGCGACCCTGTATATGTTTTTTTGCAGCCAAAACGTCAGCAGATATTGACCCCCAGTGAGCCTTTTACGACATAAATTTGAAAAAAATCTAGTACACTGAGTTCTTTATGTTCACGTGAACATTACAGTTTGAATTTCCCCATACTAAAGACACTGCTGTTATCGACAAATCCGACGAGACGCCATTCGAGGGGCCATTTACACTCACGCAGCCACCTCTACCTGAGCCCAAACTTCGGCAAATGACTACTGCCTATTGATCAAGGAGGAATTTCACGCGCGCGCACCACCTATGTGCGAACAGGATGGCCCCGTAGTAATGGCTTGCCCGTCGGATTTGCCTATACCTCGTGATTCGGCGCAACCTTTTGCTTAGTTAAGCCTGGTTTCCATATCGACGTACGAAACGTAGAAAGCAACGCAATCAAGACGCAACTTGGCGCGGACATAAACATGCCAAACGGAGGTGTCGCCGACAGCGCAGACAAACACAAACCAGCCTGCGAACGATTGGCAAAGTTGAGCCAGGTTCAACTTTGCCGACTGTCTGCGTCGAGCAGCCGTGGTATCCCCAATGCAAACACACATGCTGGCATGATGGCTGCGTGTATTCGTGCATAAAATGTCTGAAAATTGTTCAAACACAGCAATCCCGCTTTTATCTAAAAGGGCACATGTTCCTCTATCGATTGATGTAAGTTTAATGTCCATTGTTTATTTAGTAAAATATGTGCAAGAGAAGGCGGGAGTCCTTGTCCTACTGCTTGCTATTTTTGTGCAATTCGCCCTTTATCTACAATACCGGTCCTCTTCCCGCGCAAAGATCGGCCCATAAACAGTCGGCAAATTGTCCAATTCTACCGGTACCAATCATCGCGCAATCTGACAGGGCACATGCTCTTCTTTCTATTGATGTAAGCTTAGTTTTTCTTACTTTCAGAAGCACATTTGACTACCTTTGATGTTGGTAGGTGTTTTGCTGCAATTCTCCGTTTGTTCACACCTTGCTGCCCATTTCCTGCAAAGAGGGGCTCCCTATCTCCAGGCATAAAAAGTCTCAAAGTGGATTATTTCCTGCACTCCTGGTAGCATCAGAAAGGTAACACGATCCTTGAGATATCGGCAAAAGCAGCTGAAAGTTCTTGCCCTGTTGCTTGCTGTTTTGCTACAATTCTGCGTTTGTCCACACCTTTCTGGCCCATTTCCTTCTGGCCCATTTCCTATCCCTTCCC